TCATTTATTTTACCAGGAATACGGGTGTGGAGAAAATGCTGTAGATACTTTAAATTAGCAACAACAAGTTATTGTTAGGCAGAGAGACAAGTTATTGTGTGGTGCCCACATGATTCCACTCGCTCAGGATAGAAGTTTTTTTTGTCATACAAATCTTTGGCATAATCGAACCCGGACCCAGATATGGAACTTCAGAGACAACCCGACTTAGGAAAAACCTATGCTATCCATATACTAGACAGATCTTCCACCTGATGACTCGGGAAAGGAACGCAGACCACCTGGCTTCCGTACACCTATGGATTATTAACAGCGCAATCGTACGTAGATTTATGCACTGTATTTTTTTAGATGAGACTGCACTAGTACGACGTCAGCAGTCAGCACTTATCGTGAAGATGTCATAATATACCGAAAATAATTGGAGTTCGACGAATAATAATGTTTGTATTTATTCGATTATTATGAGACGTACACACACTTCGATTATTACAATCGGTTGAATATAGGCGACGAAACGCTATTATTAGGACTCCTCTATTTTTATAATCAGTTAATAACTTTTTAAAGAAAAAGAACACAGGTTAAAGAATATAAACGAATTAAGTACATACATACCTGCTTCTTTTTTAAAATCGGCTAACAATATGTGACAAAAGCGTTAATAAACGGATTCCGTTATCATCTATACAATATATTCGTACATATAATAAAACTCTAACTAGGTCGAATTTGTACATTATATATTTTTTGGAAAATCTTATTAAAATAGACATTAGTATCGATATAGAGGCAGAATCTATATTTTTTAGAATTTTTGTGTCTATCTGTCTGTCTGTCTGTTACCGCATCACAGAAAATCCACTTCAGGGATTTTGATGAAATTTGGTATGATGATAGATGGTTATCCGGGTCAACATATGAGATACTTTTTACTGCGGGAAAATATCTCGTCTCTAAGAAATCTATACTAAACAATAAATCGTTAGTAGGGAACCCGAGCGAAGCGAGGGAGAGTCGCTAGTAGCAAATATATGAAGTTTCATAATCTTAGGTACGTAAATGATTTTAGGATATATTTGATTTAACCTTGAGAGCCAGTTGGAAAACGTGCATGTTAATTTATACTTAACTGTTATACTATACGTACATGTATACCAGATGGATAAACAAAGCTAGCAGATATATCAAAAGTGTAAGCGGATATGATCTATCAATCACAAATAATAATTAATAGGTGATGATGTAGAAATTGTGATATCTATAAATATAAAAATCGATATATGTTACATATGTTCGATATGGACTCCGAAACGGCTGGAGCGATTTCGATGAAATTTTCAGTCAATCTTCTGATTAGCCCACCGGGTGATCTTGTGAAATTTTCAAAGCGATCGGAAGTGTGAACGTGGGCGAAGCGGGTTCTGCTAGTTAAATATATTTTTTAAATAAACTTTATATTTGTTAAAATTATCTTATATATCTTTTTCACATATCGTGCGAGTCTGCGCATGTTACCTGAATTTTACCTGAAAATTTCCTCAAAATCGCTCCAGCTGTTTTGGAGTCCATAGGAAACATACATACACACTTCGATTTTTATTTTATTTAATCAACAATTTAAATTTATTTATTGCTCGGAAAATGGAGTCTTATGAAAATTTAGTGACACACCGACTGCAGCGCCACCTACCGGATCCATTTGTGAATTCAAACTATGCAGGGATCCGCTCGAACATACACAAAAAATAATCGTGTCTGCCGTTTAGGACATGATCAGTGGCACAACGACTGAAGCGCCACTTTCCTACCGGGTTCAATTGTGTTCTCAAACAATCCATGAGCCCATTGATACACACACGAAATTTCATCCAAATCGGTCTAGCCATTTAGGAGGAGTAGGTTAACAAACACACGTACTAGTACTAGTAGTAGTACTAGGCGACATATTATAGGATATTTTTATACCGTAAAACATTTTCCTTTCCTAGGGGAACCCAAAGGAAACGAAAGTTTAATGAACATTATTTTGTTTTATGGAATCATGTAAAATATTAATTTAAATACTTTACATGACAATTACTAAGTTGTCAAGTATTTAAACATTAAAGGTTTCCCTCGTAAAATGTGAACATACATACATATTTTATTAGACATATATATTTTATCGTTGGGTCGACATTTAATTTATTCCGGGATATATTTTTATTTACAATAAAGAAAATTACAAATATACTTAATTATATATACAAGGATTAGAAGTATTTCCTGTAAGATGTAATATATACACACGATGTACATTGTACAATATCCACTATCACAGACTCTTAGCGTCTAAACCATATAGATATTGACAAAATTATCGAGTACGTATCTATTTTTACATGAAAAGATTAAACAAAAATTTACAAGCAAGTTACATACAGGTGTTCCAAGTGCATCGCTTATACATTAAATTCCCACGATTGAAATAATAAACAGAATGTCGACATCGGGACGGGAATGCAGAGTTGCAGTTTTCGGATACTTTAATTCTTACATATTGTTTAGTGACATTCCATAAACTTACATCGAGTAGGTTGGACATTAAATTTAGATAATAAGTTTAATTTGTAATTTTGAAATAAATTAGTTTAAATTAGTTTTTGGTTTTTTTTCGACCTTCCGACTGTAGCTAACGTAACTAGCATTTTATTTTAAAAGTTCTTAGACCAGAATTTAATAAAAATAATAATAAGGTTAATGGGTCCTCATTTTCAATTTTCTCCCAAGTTTATTAATTATAAGCGACACACCCAGGCGTCGCCAATTGCAAGGTGACGCACGTAAACACACAACACGTAATTTAGGTTTGTACCTGTTGGCTATTATATTCCGACCAACAAATAAATGATCCCTTAAGATTTGAGCGATACCTGTCGCACATTTATGGTAGGTACTATATAAGAAACCTTAACGGGATTATAAAAAGCAGAAAATCTAATTTCGTTGCAATCGTATGAATGAAACATCAAATTATCAACACCAAAGTAATGTAATACACAATTTTGCTGTTATATATACGTCGCACATGACGTGAGTGTAATACAGGCGACTATTTATTACAATCGCATTTTTTATTTGTAGGTACAGGTTTTATATTTTTTTGATATTATTGCTTGAAAGTAAATAATACTGTTAAAATCAGCATGCACCTACACTGTAAACAATGTATATATGCTATGTCGTAACTTTATCTAAGATCTGATTCGATCATATGATAAAAACAGTTAATATGGTCATAAATTAAGAACAATGGTTTCTGTGTCGAAGTAACAATGTTCCAAAGAAAAGGGAATTAATTTAATGAAAATTTAAATACAATAATATAAATTACATATTTACATATCCTTCTTAAGAGTTCGAAAAGTAAGAAAGCAGGGCACCACGTTTTGTTACTCGCATGGAGAAATAATATAGTAGAATTTATATGAGCAATATAAATTTTCGTCCCAAAGGACTATGCTAATCAGTCACGCTGTCATCTATTCATTTAATAAAATTCTAACCGAGTCGAATCTGTGCATTAAATATTTTTTGGAAAATCTAATTGAAATAGTCATTATTATCGATAAAGAGGCCGAATCTATCGTTTTTAGAATTTTGGTCTGTCTGTCTGTGACCGCATCACAAGGACACCACTGGACAGACTTTAATATTTTGTATGATGATAGCTGGTTATCCGAGTCAACATATAGGATACTTTTTACTGCGGGAAATTAACTTAACGTTAAAACGCAACTAGGGACGAACCCAAGCGAAGCAAAAGTGAATCGATAGTATTAAATAAAGACTGAGCTTCCATTGAAAATAAAGAGAAGGAAATAATTTTTTCAAAGCATATTTTGCCAAAACAGCCAACAATGTCTTAGCCAATAATGTCTATGACCAAGAAATCTTATATTTTTGATCTGTGTATTTCTCACAATGTACGTACCTACTTCGTAGGTACTTCCCTGATTCTATAATGTTGGTATCCCAAGTTTGTCTAAGAATACTCATTACGTAATATATTTTGCTCAATATTGATGAACATGCATGGATAACGTAGGTACTTTGATATAATTTACTGTACACTCACTAACTCGAATGATATCATGCCTAGTTAATACATACGCTCAAGGCAACCTGACGTTTATTGACAAATAATTTTCCTAAAATATTTAATTTACTTAGTATCCTTAAGTTTGTAACTCTGAATAACGAAAAATACATGTGACGATAATTATTTAATCGTAATTTAAATTCTAACATAAATAATAAAAATAAGAAAGAAAATAAAAAAGGCGCTTCTAATATGAAAATAGTAATATTATGATTGTTTAATAGATTCTTCCCACAGATATAACAATATCTTATAAATATATCTCTAATTTCAGATGGTATAATAAATCATTTGAAATTATAGAGCCGAATGCCGAAAAATCGTCACAAATATTCTTGCGAATTTAATTAGGTACTCGTATTATCACGTGGAGAGATTTTCTTAAAAATACAAGTATCTATAAGAAACAAAAACATAAACAATTTAATTATTCAGCAAATAATTATAAATACCTAAAAAATACAAAAAGTATTTATTATAAAGTATAATAATTTATAATTGTAGTTATCTTTGTTTGTTGTTTTCTCTATCTGTAATCTGTATACATACGAGTATTATATTTATATTACCTACTTCTAATAATCAAAACAAGCAACTTTGGGGGCTATCAAACAATTCATACCATACGTTGTGTTGCATAGTAATTTTTCACTGTAATTTTAGGCGGCGCGCTTTTTTGACATAAATATTTACAATTGAGACTGGTCACCGAACCTTAATAAATACACGAAAATTATACACGATATGCACGTGAAGAAACGAGCACACGACAGAGTGAAACTGCTTGAGTTTACACAACTGCTACTGAGTTCATAACATAATTCACGGAAAACTACAGGGTCGATTAGTCATGGCAATGTGGCCTCGGAAAGTGGAGGATACAGGCGCGCGCGACGAACTATGGTAAACTAGTGAGGATTTGGTGGCCTACTAGACTCGCGATGGGAGTCGGGCCATTCAAACACACCATATCTACCGATGAAACTTAACACATCTTATGGGGACGCACAAGATGTATGTGTATCCGCGGATAAGTTCTGAGATATGTATAATTTTTAATAATTTTTTTTATTCCTATTTAATGTTTTGAATTCTTAACATTATTTAAATCTATGGTAATAAAGTCTTATCTATACATATAATAAAAATGTAATTAAGCCGAATCGGTACAATAAATATTTTTTGGAAATTCTTATTGAAATAGACATTATTATAGATACAAAGGCCGAATCTATGGTTTATAAGAATTATTGTCTGTTACCGCATCATGGAAAAACCACTAGAGGGATTTTGATGAAATTTGGTATGGTGATAGCTGGTTATCCGGGTCAACATATAGGATATTTTTACCGCGGGAAAATATCTCATTTCTGAGAAAAAAAATATATAAAAACTGGTTAGAATAAAACCACGATGATACTATATATATTTTAGCAAGGTAACTTACTAAATAAGGCAAAAACTATTAAAAATAGCTTATCTTGAATAATAACAATAGCGCTATTTTATTTGGTTTTCAACCGAGTTCAAAAATTAGGAGGTTCTCAATTCGACTGTATTTTTTTTATGTTTGTTACCTCAGAACTCTGTCATTTATTAACCGATTTGGATAATTTACGTTTTGTTTAAAAGTGTATACTTCCAGATTGGTCCCATTTAAATTTAAAAAAAAAACCACCCCTAAGGGTGGAAAAATAGCTAATGATGAATTTAACCTACTTCTAATTGTAATATTGACTTGAAACTTTGCAAATGTTTCTATTTCCGTTGATAGTACAGTGGTTCGGTATTGTTGACCTGATTAGATGGTAAGGCCAGGAGGTGGATAGGTGGAACTCTTCAACGGCTAATAGTAGATACTTTGAGTTTGGGCATATTTTGTTTCATTTGACAAGCCTAACACGTTAGAATTCTTACTTTGCTACTACTGTCTACACTAAAAAGGGAAAAATAAAAACATTTTAAGTTTTTTGGGTCATCTGAACGCGGGCGGAGCCGCGGGCAATGCTAGTAAGTTATAAAAGTAACAGAAAATTGTTACACGAAAATATCCTACCAATTCAGTTTGAAAATATTGAGTTTTGTGAAGCTTATAAGAAAATGTATTTATTCTTCTATTTGTATTGATATTTTAATTAAACTTCAGTTTCAGTCAGGTTTTACGTTCAATGCCGCGACAAATCTTTAGAACGTGGTGTGAAGGCAGGCATCGATGCGTCACCGGGCGGCGGCGAGGCGCGGCGACGGCCTACGCACGTACTACAACCCATAGGGCTGGGCTACCTGTGTTTGAGAGAATATTTTTTTTATTACATATTTTCTCCTGCAGCAGTAAATAAATAGCACTAATATTGCTTTCTTCTTATAAAAATTATATATAAATTGAACTGTATGAAATATTATTATTTAATATTAAATGTTCTTGACTTTATATTAAAGTCAATTTCAATGTGTACAATAAAAAGTCAACTTTATTTCAACAAATTGAGAATTGTATTTCTTGGATGATAAAATGAAACCCAATTTGCCAACCCTAATGAAACAAAATAAACCTATAGTATAATGGCATAGTGTGACACAATGCTTGTACGCTCTACGTAATTTTCTTTGGGTCCGCCATTAAAACCCATTTCGTTATCAAGTAATGTGGTTGTCAAACAGCCAGCAATTACAAGATAGCTTTTTATCTTAATTATTTACTCTCATAGAATATTATGCAGTAATCTATCATTATAACTATATATTGACATACATGATTTATTTAATTTCAATTTTAAGTAAATGTTTTTAAATATTAAATGTTTTTATTTTTCTTTATTTATTTCTGTTATAATTTTGTAGCATTTTATTTCTGTTTTTCTGTGTTCTATGCTTAATGTAAAATACTGATGATTTTTATGGACTTCTTGTCCGAAATAAACGCTCATTATTATCATTATTACTAATTATTTAATAAATTTTATTTAACAAATGCTTTATTGACATAATGCGCAACTTTTAAAACGATATTTTGTATTAATATGTATTATGTTTCGCAGCTTCATTCTTTGCGATTTGGATTCACATATTGTAGATGTATTTCCAACTATCAGCCTAGCACGGAATTTTATAGCTTTTTTTTTTTTAAATAGCAATACTTTATTTCAAATATCCTACTTCCTAATCCCCACCTATCCATACTTCCTCTTTGCAATATTTCGTGTGGCTTGTCATTATGTTTTTCCGTGCTGAAGCCTACGCACGTCAAAACTCGACTCAATCAAAATGGGGAAGAAAAAAAAAACGTGACAAAAGTGAAGAATCTATTCGAAAAAAGATAAGAAAATTGGAAAGTAAACTGCAGAATCGTCGAAGAATAATTTCATCAGACGAAGATATTCAGAGTAAGTACCTTTTTTCTCAAAAACTGACGGTAAATGTAAATAAAAATTTTGCTAAATTAATATATTCAAATTTTTATTGCATAATTTTATTTTTTTGTTCACTTTGACTTTATACTATTTAATTTTTTACCGTTAAAATTTGATATACTACAAATTCAAATGTATAAACACAAGTGATGCGTTTTTACCGTCACGCTTAATTTGATGCGTTTTTACCATCATATAAGGCAGCTGATGCGTTTTTACCATCATGCTTGCCACATTCGACGATCCTGAGATCGTTTTTAGTGATATGTGATAAATATTCACAGGTCCATGCGAAGACCAGTTTCTACAAGCAGACAAGATGACAGGTGTGCTCACACCATGCGATGCACCCTGTTCGCCCCATACATTGGAGACACACAATTCTGAGCATCAAGATGGTTCTCAGCTTTTCCCTGCAGACCCAGCTACAGAACCAATAAAAATTGTTGACGATAAGCTAGATGAGGGTATTTTAGAAATACTTGGGAATGCACCTGAACCAGACATCACGCTAGGAAAACCTATCCATAAGGACATAGCTGCCAGATGGATTGAGGTATTGAAGAAAGGATTAAATAAGGAACAAAAAGATCTATTGGCCAAGGAATATTTAGTTCCTGGTAACTGCGAGTTACTCGTGCCGCCTGTTTTAAATCCTGAAGTAAAAGTTGCTTTACTTGAACAATTTATAAAAAGAGACACTTCTTTAATGAACAGACAAAAACGATTCGCCAATGCTCTTTCTGCGCTAGGTCAATCCATTGAAATTATTATTTCTACAAATTGTGAGCAAGGGTTGAAACAAAAAGTTTTAAAACCTGTCAGTGATGTTTGTAAAATTTTATGTGATATGCATCATGACGAAACAAAAACAAGGCGAAAGTTTGTCATTGCTTCCATCAATACTAGCTTAAAAGATACATTGGCGAACTCTGAAGCTGACAAGTTTCTTTTCGGAGATAACATGTCAGAAAAGCTTAAGACAGCAAAAACTGTACAACGCTCTGCTGAAGCACTAAAGGTGACACAAGCACCATTTTCTAGGGCTAACTTTTCTAATAATAAATCTTTTAACAGCAAGAATAATTTAAACTACAAGCCCCTGCATCAAAAGACAACAGGCAGGCAACATGCAGGGAGGCCGTATGCAGTCCTGCCACCACGGCACCAGAACAGCAGTTCGCAACGGCAGACTCACTGGATGCAGCGGCCGCCTCCACCACCGCCGCCCTCTTCACACCAACCACCTCCGCCGATACGCAGGTCGGCTCGCAAATAAATGAGGTACCGTACGCAGGCCGATTAAAGTTATTTATATCTAATTGGTATAAGATCACTAGTGATCCCACAGTTTTATCTTGGATTGATGGATATAGAATTCCCTTTATTTCTTTACCAATGCAAGTAAATTGTCCTTTAATATATTCTGATTCTATAATTGAATCATATGATTATGAAAAATCAATTGCAAAATTATTAAAAATTGGAGCTATATATAAATGTAGTCATGAAAATTTTGAATTTTTATCACGAATATTTCTAGTTCCTAAGCCTAATGGTGAAAAAAGGTTAATTTTAAACTTAAAAAGGTTGAATAAATATATTAAAAAAGATCATTTCAAGATGGAAGATTATCGCACTGCATCAAAGTTGATAACTAAAAACTGTTATATGGCATCCTTAGATTTGAAAGACGCTTATTTTTTAATTAATATAAATAAATATCACAGGAATTTTTTACGTTTTATGTATAACGGCTGTCTTTACGAATTCACCTGTTTACCATTCGGTTTATGCACTGCACCATATGTATTCACAAAGCTTCTAAAACCTGTCATAGAATATATTCGTAGTAAATATAATATTTTGTCAGTAATTTATCTCGATGATCTTTTATGTTATGGAGAAAGTTTTCAAGAGTGTCAGAATAATGTTCATAACATTAAAAAATTGTTAATATCATTAGGTTTCATCATTAACACTATTAAAAGTTCCTTAATCCCTAAACAACAATGTAAATGTTTAGGTTTTGTCTACGATTCAAAAAATATGTTTCTACAACTACCCGATGATAAAAAATATAAAGTAAAAGAAATCTTATTGACGTTTGTCAGATTAAAGAAATGTAAATTACGTGATTTTGCGAGATTTATAGGTTTATTAATATCTGTTTGCCCTGCAGTAGAATATTCCTGGTTACATACAAAGCAGTTTGAGTACCATAAATATATGTGTCTACTTAAAAATTCTTCTTATGATCAAATAATTAATGTACCTGATAGTTTAAAACCAGATATAAATTGGTGGTTAGCTAATATAGATAATGATAGCTAATATAGATAATGATTGGTGGTTAGCTAATATAGAGAATGATAATAAAATAGATACTGTCTATTTAGATTTAACAATTATGACTTAGAGATTTTTTCTGATGCTTCTCTTACTGGATGGGGTGGTTATTGTGGTAGTAAAAAAGTTCATGGATTTTGGAAATTCGAGGAAACTTGTCTACACATTAATGAGTTAGAATTAAAAGCAGCTTTTTTTACATTAAAAGTGTTCACAAAAAATTTATTTGGCAAAGAAATTCTTTTACGTATTGATAATACAACCGCCATTTCGTGTATAAACAGAATGGGAAGTGTGCAATATCCTCATCTCTGTCAAATAAGCAAAGATATTTGGGAATGGTGTGAGACGCATAAATTGTATATTTTTGCATCATATATTAATACGAAGGATAATATAGAAGCAGATTCTTTGTCTCGTAAAAAGTTTCAGGACACAGAACGGGAATTGGCAGACTATGCATTTCAAAAAATTGCGATAAATTTTGGTGATTTTGATATTGATTTATTTGCATTCGGTGTAATGCAAAATGTAAAAAATATATTACTTGGAAAAGAGATTCCGATGCACTAGCTGTTGATGCCTTTTCTGTGTCCTGGAAAAACCTTTTTTTTTTTGCCTTTCGTCCATTTATTTTAATATTGAAAGTTTTGCGAAAAATAATATCAGATAAAGCAGAAGGTGTATTAGTTGTTCCATACTGGCCTACACAACCGTGGTTCCCCTTATTTAATAAATTAATTTGTTTACCATGTATATATATTTTGAGTATATATTTTGAGCCAAACGTTAATTTACTAACTTCTCCTTTCAGATCATCACACAGTCTTCATCAGACCTTGTGCTTAGTAGCCGCGAAGTTGTCAGGAAAACATATTTGAAAATGGGTTTGACATCTAGAACCGTAGATATTCTAATGAATTCACTTTCAGATAATACTTACAAACAGTATGACAGTTGCATAAGGTCTTGGCATGGACGAATTAGAGACTGGACCTGACATAAAATACAAATGTATGAAAACTAGTTCAACCAAGTGACGCATAACGCACACAAAGATTTTATTACATTATTATAAACACTGATACACAATACAATATTTCTAGTGCTTGAACGTAATCGATAAAATACATATATCGATGAACCAATGAATGACATTTTAGATATTGGTTAGCATAGTTATCATATTTTACATCTTTTAATTTAAAATATCTGTATTTATTATAATAAATTAAAATAAATGAATTAAAGAGGCAATAATAATGTGTCAAATAATAATTATTTTTTAATTTGATTTATATAAATACGATGGCATTGATGGCAACATTCTGTTGGCCTATAATAATGTTAATAAACAAATGATATATCGGGTGTGTATTCCATTAATATATAATAAATATTATTTTATAAAGATTAAAAAAATATTAAGCTAATTTAATTAAATAAAGTGATTTTGTTGATTCTGTTATTGAACTATTTTAATTGGCAATTGATTGTCTCGGGTAGTTATAAAAATGTGACTCTGTCCTAATATTGCTCAGTTATTTAATAAACATTTGTGAATTAGGAAAAAGAAAAAGTGATTGCAAATTGTGAAAAAGTGAGTGTTGGATCGTGAAAGTAAAATAATTAGTGCAAGTGGTAAAGTGTTTTATTACAAATCGCCAACTCAGAAGTTTAGTGCTAAAATATTATTGTTTGATTTTGTGTAATTTATGTGTTGAAATAAATTGATCTTTATTATTATTACAATGGAATAATATTCCAAAGTATATAAATGTGGTATAAAATAAAAAATTAAGTACTCATACTAATTATAATTTTTGCATTTATATTTTTATTTGATTTAGAAAATATTTTTATGAATTTATTGTCATCAGATTGTAGGATACTGTGATAAAAGTATTTTATGTTATTGTACTGTACAAATAACACAATTCGTTCAGTTATTTCGTCAAATATCGATATATTTTTCGACATTGTCAAGCACTAGTAGATGTCAAATGGACTTACTCGACAGTTTTGTCATTTGTTCTGAATGGTATAATCCAGCCCGTTTATGATGGTTGTCAGATGTCAACAATACATAGAAATATCGACTATATTTAACATAGTTGGATAATATGACATTTTATTTTATATTTAATTAAAATTTGTGATAAATAACAATAAATGTAATAAAATAATGTATTTACAAGTGAAAAGAAATAGTGTTGCTTCCGCCGTTATAGTTTTTACACCATTTAACAGAACATTTAGTCATTTTTGGGAGATGTTTTGTTGACAAGTAAGTGCTCGAGACTGACACAAAAAACAAACGACCTAGGCTAAAATTCCCTGGTTACTGACATGACCGTTAAAGGTACGTCCGCTTACATGTCTGGTCCAGTGGTTAATTCGTTCATGGGTCTTGGTTAGGGGTTTGTAAGAATAAAAATCACGATTTTTCCTATATGTCTATTCCTGTTATATTAGATTATATGAGTGAATGTTTTCATAAAGGAGTTAAGTATGGAACAATAAATTCACACAAATCTGCCTTATCTCTATTATTTCCTAATATTCTTAAGGATGATTGTATTAAAAGATTTATGAAAGGGGTTTTCAGAACTAGACCTTCTCAACCTAAATATAGTATTACGTGGGACCCTAGTATTGTTCTTAATTATTTGTCTGCACAGTGGCCACATGAAGGTCTCGATCTTGAAATTCTCTCGAAAAAAGTTATAACTTTGTTGGCTCTGGTCACAGCACATCGCGTACAGACTCTAGCTTTGATAAAGATTCCTAATATTGAAGTACATGACTCACATATTATGATAAAAATTCCTGATCTTGTAAAAACATCTCGACCAAATTCATTTCAACCTATTCTAAAATTGCCATTGTATAATGAAAAACAATGTATATGCCCAGCAAAGTGTTTGTTAGATTACATAAATAAAACTAGCTCCTTACGTGATTATAAAAATATTTTCTTATTTATTAGTTATAAAAAACCATATAAAAAATTAACTTCACAGACCTTAAGCCACTGGATAAAGGATACACTTAATAAAAGTGCCATAAACACTTCTATTTTTACCGCACATAGTACGCGACATGCAGCTACGTCCATAGCCAACAAACTTGGTGTTAATATAGATGTAATTAGAAAGACTGCCGGTTGGAGTCAATCATCTGCAACTTTTGCCAGATTTTATAATAAAGAAATTATTGTTGATAATTTTGCTCATTCGGTACTTTCCTCTGAAAATGTTAAGAATTAAAATATAATTAAATGTATAGAAAGAATTAAATACACAAAATTATAAATAAAACTTATGTTCATACTTACATGTCTTTTAATACTTACCTGTTTTCATATTACATTCATAGTTACATTTTATATTTGCTATATTTCTCTGAACATCCTACAATATGTGAATCCAAATCGCAAAGAATGAAGCTGCGAAACATAATTGAAGATCAAACGAACTTACCAAGTGAAGTTCGATCACAATTATGTGAGCAGCTTCATTCGACGCGATTTATATAAACCCACCCTACATAATAAAATATTAACATAATTACATTTCTACCTTCAAAAGGACATAATATAATTTCGTATATACCCAGCCCTAGTTTTAACAAATTAAAAACGACAAATATAAAATGGTAATAATCTTTAAACTAAATGACAAGCCACATGAAATATTGCAAAGAGGAAGTATGGATAGGTGGGGATTAGGAAGTAGGATATTTGAAATAAAGTATTGCTATTTAAAAAAAAAAAAGCTATAAAATTCCGTGCTAGGCTGATAGTTGGAAATACATCTACAATATGTGAATCCAAATCGCGTCGAATGAAGCTGCTCACATAATTGTGATCGAACTTCACTTGGTAAGTTCGTTTGATCTTCAATTATACAACCTGAACATTATTAT